TTAGAAATAAGCCCCAAGCCTGGTTTTCTGAAGCTTACTCAAAAATGCACATTCCTTTTGATTCATGGGAGCATTCTCTCGAGCAGGGATTTAAAAGTCCCTTATGAGAAACGCTTGCAGGCTCTTTCTTTATGATCAACTTTATAAACTTTAATTATTGTCAGAGTGAGAGATGCTTGGGGGAATAAAATATTTTCACATTCATGTGCATGTTCCAAGGCCATAATTGTGATGTGTGAATTTTCAAGATTTTCAGTCATATTGTCCTTTATCCAAGTAATGCAAATGCAGATGCTAATACAGAAGAGCATGGTGAAATTAAGTTTGAGAAATGTATGCAACACAGAGGAGCAGTCTGCTAAGCTTGTATGGAGCCAGATTCTGTGTGGCTAAGCTCTTTTAATGCTATTTCTGCCTTGAAATGCAAATCTGTCCAAACCAGGCCAATTTCCAATTTAAGCCAATCATTGGAGAAAAGCACTGGAGACAACATAGTGAAATAGTAGTAAGAATAATAGTAAATCCTAATGAAGCTGAGAGGATTGCCCACATGATGCTGGTAGAGAAAGCATTCAAGTCTATGCACTGAGTTCCTCTTTAATGTTTAGCATCAGTTACAGGATTTACTAAAAGTACCCTTCCAAAGTTCCCTTCCAAACATTAATAAAGATTCACTAACGTTTAAGATTCTTTATGATTAGAATGATCTGTCTAGATCTTAAATCTTATTCTGCAGATGGTAGCAAGGTCTCTGATGCAACCTTGATGGAGGTCTTACTGATGAATGATTTTAAGCTTGTTATCAACAACACAACGTACAGTGTGTCAACTCCTGTAAAAGGTAAGAGCCATGTTTTAATAGCACTGACTGTCTGGCTTAATCTAGTGGAAGGCATGTCTCAGACAATTGGAACCTCTCTGGAGAAAAAAAATTCTCTTTGGTTTTGTACCATTGGATGGTCTTGCTTTCATGGGTGTAGGTCTGGGGAGAAAACAGTGAAGGGTAGATTCTTGAAATATTTTGAAATGATAAACACTTTCTCTTCAGATAAGCTGAGTAGTGAGCATGCTACTGAAATGGAAGATATCAGATCCTTGGTTCACAGACTGTTTGTGGCTCTGCATTCAGAAGATCACCAGATCAAGAAAGAGAGAGAATTGCTACAGAAACTGGACCACCTGAAAGAACAGCTGATGCCTCTTGAACAGGTTGGAAGGGAGGGAGGTGGCTTTGTTGTTGTTCTGTTTTTAAGTGCAAAAGCATTTCCTCATAACAGGAGTAAGTCTTGTGATAGAAAATGATCAGATGGATGCATAGAGTATCTACTTTGTCATGCAAACAAAGTCAATTCAAATGCAGTTCAAATAACTTCCAGTTCAGTTCTTTTTCTCTCCTGCAGTGCATGTTAGCTGGTTAAAAGCTGCAACATCTGGAGAAGACTGTCAGGAACAAGCCTTAGCATGGCTGGTATTGGGATTGAACACCCACTTAATCACCTGTTGCTGTATGAGTTCCGAATACCTATTAAAGGAAAAAAAAAAACAAAAAACCAACATTGAGCTTAAAAATTATCTGTGGCAGTTTCCTGTGTCCCAAGACAAAAGGCAGATTGTATGGACTAATGGTTGCTGTAATCTAAGAAATGAAGTTATACATGTTGATCTGGGGCAGGTTAAGGTAACTCAGCTTGAAGGAAGGAAACAGGAGTCTGATAGGATGAGCAAACTCTTCCTTGACTTCGGACCTGCTACGTGTGAGGACCAGCCTCAGTGTTAACAAGACCTGCCTTTAATGATGAATACAAATCCAGCAGATGTAAATCTCAAGCAGTGGGAAAGGAAAATTAACATTGGTGCTCAGTAGCCAGGAGATCTGTTTGCCCTTGGATTTCAGTCCTTTTCTTTCTTCACAGGGTAAGTGTGTAAGAGGAAAGCATTGAGAAAGGATCCAGCCCAGCAGGAGTAAATGCAGTGCAACTGATGAGCTCCTCAACTAATGTTTGTTTGAACAAGTTCCTGTGTTTATTTCTTCACCCTAGATGAAAGCCAGAATTATGGACAGTGCTGATGCAAAGACCTCCAGGCTTCTATGGGTTGGTTTAGCTTTGATGTCAATGCAAGGTGGAGCGTTGGCATGGCTCACGTGGTGGGTCTATTCGTGGGACATCATGGAGCCGGTCACATACTTCATCACCTATGGGAGTGCCATGGCTTTCTATGCCTACTTTGTCCTTACTAAACAGGTGATTCACCCTCCTGTCTGGAGTATTGAAATGAAGGAGTAGAAAAACTGAAAATCCTAGTGCTTGAACTCTGATTAAAATGTAATTTATTAAGTAGCCTTGCCATCAGATTGGGGGAGATGAGATTGATTTCTGACAGGATTGGATAAAAATGCCTTATGTTATCAGGCGAGGTACTGTTACACCTGCACTATCAACCAGCTTCTGAGCAGAACTACTACCTGTAAAACTCCATCAGCCAAGATATGAGAAGTGATGAATGAAATATGTCATTTTATTTTAATTTTTGTAGGTCATCTTGAATAGTAAATTGCACCTGGCTCATTGCTGTAAAGGGAGAGCAACTAGTAGTTCTATACCAATTAATGAACACTGCTTTACAAGTGTCCAGGAAGCAAATCACTGAACAATAACATAAATAAATACACCCAGATGTTAACTGAGCTGCACAATGCAGACTAGTCCTGAAATCCTGTAAGATTTTGAAGAATGCTTCTTTTTCATTTTTTAGTTCTGTACTTTACTCTCAAAATAGACATCTTGATGTCAAACATTTGTAGTGGAAAAACTCTTTGTTTACTAAGCAGTTATGTGGAAGAGTAGCTACTGCTTCCTTCCATAATACTGGTGAATCCACAGACCTCGTGAGATATTAGGTTCCATTTGTGAAAAGGGGAGACATGTCTGTTTTTAGGAACAACTGGCTTTGAATGTTTTATTAGTTTTATTAGTTTTATTCCTTCTCACTGATTTTTAACAAGGGCAGAGGTATTCCTACTTCATGTATCCAGATACACGTAAATCTCTTTATACAGATTACTGCTTGTCTTTTTAGAACAGCGGTGTTGGCATGAATGCTTGAGACTTTCAAGTAACTCTTTAAAAAGCAGTAATTGAACTTTCTCTGACTCCTTGGAAAGTCATGTCCATTTACTCATGTGGCTTCAGTCATGAGGTTCAAGCTGTGTCTTTATTATAGAAAATTACTTAAGAGACTACAAAAATGATTTCAGGCATGTGTCTAAGAGGGCCCTTATGACAAATAAGAGCATACTTGTGTGTGTAGTCTCTTAACAGCATTTTGTATTTGTGTATTTGTGCTCATGTGTGTACATGCCTGTGGAACTAGATAAGTAATTGTGAAACAGGCTGAATTTCTCTGACTCCTTTTTCTCGCTAACCTCAAATATGTGCCTTTCTTTCTTCGCTAGGACTACATTTACCCTGCTGCCAAAGACAGGCAGCTCCTTCACTACTTCTACCGGAAATCCAAAGCCCAGCATTTTAATGTGGAACAATACAACAAGCTAAAAGACGAACTTGCAGAGGTATTTAAATACAATCCTGAAATGGGGTGGTCTTCTCTGGCTTTACTTTTTCAGTAAACTCTCAGCTATTGGAAAACTGACCTCAGGGTTTGTTACTTACATTCAGAATGGCATATTGCTTCTTAACCAGTTTGCACTTTTAAAATAAGCATATGGTGTTTGCCTTTGACATGTAAACTACTTCAGTAGTTCATCAGAGAAGGAGACTTTCACACGTTAAATTTCAAACACGTAAGTTAGGTTTTGAGCACTAGAGTGCCCTACCCCCTCTCCCCCCCATGTTTGAATATGTTACATTTCCAGCTATTTTAATAGAGAACTGCATTTAGCCAATGTATTGCAACCCATAAGTGTATTTGCCATCACTTGAGTCGGCACTGCACTGCACCCTCCCCGTGCCCTGGTTTCAGCCCAAACATTGCTGATGGCACACATGAGGTTCAGTTGGTGCTTAGCAATGGGTTCGAGCCTTGGGCTGCTCAGCGGGGCAGAGCCACAGCCATGGTAACGCATTAATGCACAAGGTGCAGCTGCAGGTTGGGCTGGGATGAGCTGGGCTGCGTGTGGCCTGTGGGCTGGACATGCATAGGCTAGAGTTTGTTGCTTTTTCAATAGCTTGTGAGAATGATTTTTTTTTAAGTGCAATTTCAAAAAAATAATACTTTGGATTGTGTGTTGGAGGGGGTGTGGGAAAGTGGTTTCTGTTTCTGCTCTCTGGAAACTGAATGGCCTGAGTAGGACTGTAAAGCTGAGCATCCTCCATTTGAGTAGTCTGCTTTCTTGTATGAGACCAGTGTCTTCTGAGAAAGGCAAAAATGAAGGGCTGCATAAGATGAACTCATTCTTTCTCCCACTGCAGGCAGAAGAATCTTTGAAGCGTTTGCGCCAGGCTCTGCACCTCAGACTTCCAATCCAGGAAATTACTAACAAGGACTGACTTTGTTTTGGTGTATGTTAGAATTGTCCTTTCAGAGTTGATAGGAACATTTAATTACTATACAGAAACTTGCTATTTTTGACCACTATAATTTTGAAAGTTACAATAAATATTTATAAAAATGATTTGATTACTTGATGGCTTTGGGTTTGTTTTTTGCTTTAGATTTTGGTCTTATAAAGAAACTGCTGAAGCAAAGTTCTTCAGCTGTTTGTCAATTCATATTTGTAAAACGGAAGCATTCTGCTTCCAGGTAAAGTGATGTGCAGGAATGTTCTTTAAAGTGGGGGCTGTCATTTTCAGACAATTAGCAAGTAATTAACTCCTGCATCAAGTATTATGGATTTTTTTCCCTGGAATTGTTCTTTCCTTTTCCCTAGCTCTGTGTGCTCATTTTGTTGGTATAACACCCTTGGTGGAGGTTAGATTTTCATCAAAAGTAAGCTATTTTTAGACAATGTTTCTCGAAAAATAGCACATACATCAAACTCATTTTACTGTAAAATTGTTGCATTTTATTGAAAGAACTTACAAAAACATTCACAAATACATGATTTACTCAAAGCTTCAAAGTAGCCATATTAAGACTTAATATCCGTGACTCAGAACACAATATATGAAAGGATATAACTAAAGTAGAGCCTGTAAGTCAATTATTTTTTACCCAGAAAAGTGTATTAACTTTCCTTAGTGTGAGTTCTCCACTGTCTACCAGAGTTAAGCATTATGTACCAATAATGTAAAAACTGATTTTTTAAAAAATTGTTTCTATTAAGTATTGCAATTGCTAATGCTACAGTAGTAGCAACCTGAAACATCCTATGATGACAAGTATACTATCAGTTCTGTATACAAAATGACAGTGCACAGCTGATCTCTGGAGCCCAGAGGAGGCAGAGTCTGGTCCAACACCAATACCTCTGAAGTGCCAAGGTTTATGTTGTATATTGCAGAGCTGCCTAAAGATACCTACAAGAGTGGCAAGTGAACTTGAACCATATAAATCATTTGCTTTAGTGATGTGTAGCAGATAAGCTTACCCCTGTCAAAGAGCGTGTTTGTACCCAAAATCATGCTTTTCCAAAGCAAGATATTTGCTGCCTTATTTCACTACTGCTTTCTTTCCCTCCGAGGATGCAAAGCACCATAAGCTTTAATTGTACCACAAATGAAAATTATGCGCCAGCACAAGAAGTCCTTTATGTGCATTAGAACTATAACTGTACTCAAGGAATTAAGTATGTTTTCAGTGTTGAGAGGAAAAAAACCACCCACCCTCAATAAATGCATAAAAATTAGATGGTGGATACTGTTGTACACAGATATAAAAAGATGCCTTACAAGTATATTTCCTGTAAACCATACTCTTGGAGCAAGAGAAGCTAACCTAATACAGTGTTAAAAAAGTTTTGGAAATAGTAAAAAGTGTGCCATAACTGAACAGATAAATTGAGCAAAAATTTTTCTTTTTCCTTAAAAGTTAATTTCAATAAAATCTGAGCACCTGTTACTAATCTAGCACCAGTAAACTTCTTCCAAATTCCCTGAGATGAACAGAGCTGCAATATTAGCTTTAAATTTGCCTTAAGATTTTTGAAACTATTGCGTATACAAACTATAAGGTTTGATCCCAGTGTTTTTGTATATAATCTTAGAGTGTTAAATCTCTTGATCTAAGATGGTAGTTTTCTCACTTCTGCAGTGAGCATTAAAGAATGTCATTATTAAGTAGCAACCTACTTAGATTTTGGGTGGAAATACAATTTTTTCGTCAACATTGAAGCAAAACAAGGAATCTGTTTTTTTCCTATAGCATTTATATCTCTGCACATATCCACTTTGCGATGAGAAACTTTTCGGTTAACGACAGTAAGGAGTTCTGTGAACTCCAAGGAAGAGCCGTGCTTCCTGAGAGCCTCACACAAATCTTGAATGTACCAGGAGCCATTTACAGTTTCACGGTGAGAAAAGTAACCTATTGTAGAACAGGAAAATAAAATTATACTCAGTTGTAAGTAGCCACTCCCACTGAAAAACATTCACGACAGTAAATCCTAGTTAGCTTCACATAATGGAATTACTACTGAATGTAAATCTTACCATGTCAAGTTATCCAGTCTCACTGGAAATGACAGAAGGATTTTGATATCACTTACTCAGTCTAGCCAAAAGGAATACAGTTTAGGAACTGGTAGCATATTGTCCACAGGACTGTATCTGCAATTTGCATGGCAGCAGATGGGACTGAGGACAAGACAGATGACGGACTGGTTAGTACAGCCACATAGTATGGGGGAATAGATAAGCCTGTAGAATATCACAGTCCAGGAGAAAAGGGGAATGCCTGCTGTTAGCACACAGCTCAGCAATAAAATTATAAAGAGAATGATTCTGTTTGGCAAATTAACTGCAATTTTGAATATTTGTTTTTAGTTGTTTTTACTTTCTTCCTAACATATGGGGCTCCTTCCCAGATGTCACTTAACAGGGAGCAAAACAGATGATGTGGAACTGTACTCATTATTTTGACTGCAAAACGAGGAAGTGTTCAAGCTTATTAGAGTGAAATATCAGACACATAGACATAAAATAGAATTATACCTTGTGCCACAGAATAGCACATAATAAAGTCTGCACCAGCCGGCAGGGTATAGACACCAGCTGCATCCACTTCAGTCTGGTTAATAGTGGTTTCATCTTTGCTGTCTACTAAATCCTGAACGAGAACTGGGTCATCATGTTTATCACCTCGACATGCCTGTTGGGGAGAGAAGGATGATTATATTTTCACCTCTGTGAAGTTGATCTGTGTTACCACGATACTTTTAAACAGAGGGGACTCCTGTTGCATTCTACGCTAACCTACAATTGTAGATTCATAAAGATCCATGTAGTTCTCTATCAGTTAAATATTGGCGATGAAATCCAATAAAAACTCAGGGTCAGCTAAAGCAGGTTTCTCACGACGATGTCCAGTTGGCTTCTGTCTCCAGAGTTGTGTGATATCTTTCAGTATTTGCTCACCTACACAGTAAAAAAGTGTTTTCTCGTGTTGAGATGCTCTATGTGTTTAATTTGGACCCATTATGCACGATTGAAGAGATCTCCTCATATGAAAGATGCTCTGGTTCCTTAATCATTTTCATAGCCCTGCACTAGACTCATTCCACTAAGTCTGTGTCTTGTATAGTGGGGAGTTCAGAACTGGGCACAAGACTCCGAATGCAGTCTCACCAGCCAGGGAAAGAGAAAGGATAGCTCCCTAAACCTGACAGTGCAGCAAGGAATAAATGCTCTGAAGCACAGCCATTGTAAAATGCTGTTATATTATGTTGCTGAATTATTTATTTATTATTTTAAGATAAGCCATTAAATAAGGTGAGGATCGTCTGTGTTGCAGAAAGTGTAGGTGGAGAAAAAGAAAGTAAGAGCACACTTAAAAAGTTACAAAGTAGGCAACAGGCGTTACTTAAGAGCTATCACAAAAGGGAGAAATATGAAAATTTCCTTTCCTTTGCCATGATGAAGTTCTGTCTTTGCTGTTTACTCTGTAATTTCCAAAGGTAAGTGTTATACTGATTGTTCTTTCTGCTGAAAAAGAACTCCGTTCCTGAACTGAACTCATGCAATTCGCTTCTTTGATAACTATCTTATTAATATTTCCAAGTATAACTTGTATTACAAAATTGAAATACTTAAATATTTTTACATCTGTGGTCTGATTAAAAAAAAAAAAAAAGCTGAATAAATCCTAATGAAAAATCAATTAACAGTATGCTGACACTTGTAGCAGCCTTGTGCCTAAGTCACCTTTCATTTGAAAAGACGTAGTTCTTACAATTACTATATGACTACTAGAATTATAGTCTACTAAAGGTCAACTTGTTGTTTGAGTTTACTAATTGTAACATAAAGATGTTGTAACACTGTAACATAAAGATGTTTGTAACATAAAGACGGGCCCTTAAAAATTTGGATTGACCCCATGTCCAACTGCTTCGAAAAGGAAGCTGGACACAGACCTGGGATTCTTTCCAGCTTGCATTATCCTTTGAACCAAGGAGTGAAATAGGAAGTTATTGTATGGGTTTTGTTTGACCGCTTAGCACCATCAGTATTTTTGTGACAATAAAGCCTTAATATGATACTTTAGTTTTTTTAGAGATGCCAATTAAACAGATGGACTAGAGGTCTTTTCCAACCTTAACGATTCTATGATGAGCATTGGTCATGGAAATAAATAAAAACAACAACAAAAACAAAAAAACATAAATCATTTCAATGATCAAGTGAAGGAACTCGCCTGGTGGAAAACAGTGAATGTAAGAAAATTAGATAACTTATTTCAGCCTAACCCATGGATGAGAGGTATGAATGGGAGGAACTGAGCTGAAGCTGTGCACAGATTTCTCCAAAAACTAGTGATACTTTCTTCTCTGCCATTAGATGTACACTGACAACATCTTACCTGAATTATAAATATCTTCGGCTTTCCTACCAGACTCTGGCACTTATCTCCTCTGAACATGTTTGTGATCGTCTCAATTTTGATTTGGGCATCATATGCGTAGACATGATCATTCTCACCATGACTCAAGAACACACAAACAAAGCAGTCAGCATTGCTGTAGTCATCCAGAGAGGCTGAAATATCAAGTGCGCTTTAGATAACTAAACAGTGATCTTCGCTTTCAAAAAAACATGGCACATTTGTATCATATAATTTCATCTCAGATCAGTTATTTTTCAAGTGAACTGTATTTTCAAATAGCGTAAGACTGCAGAGATCTGAAGGTACAGTGATTAAGCATGGCTCAAGCCACTGAAAGTAAAAAAAGAAAAGAATGTTACTAACTTCTCCCAGCTGAATGCTAACTTCTTTCAGCAACTTCATTAGCTCTCAGCACAGATTTCCTAACATTGCAATAAAAAAAAAAATCTGAAGTTTAACCCTTAAACCCTTTTTATGTTGAACAGTATGGACAAAAATTAAAGATTTTAAGTTAGCTGAGCATAGAGAATGGAAAACATAAGTCTAGAAATTCTGCTATCAGTAGTTAGACATAACTAATATATGGTCTCCTACCTTCATAAACGTTCTGGAGCACATCTTCTGCTTTCAGATCGTCAAAAATTCTGACTTCAAATCCAAGGTCTGTCAAACTATTGTTAAAACACAAACATATTAGTAAAAACATTTTCTCAAATTACATATCGATTACTACCAACTCAATTGCTTTCACTGTGAGACAGTTAATATTCATGTTTATGCATTGTTTATGAAAATTACTCAAAATTATATTGGACTCGAACTGGTGTCCAGTGCATATGTAGTATCTAATTCAAGTTACTTTGAAGACTTTGGCCTAAGAGAGGGCTGGACGTGCTGCACTCGTATGACTTGTGCCAGCTATTTCTGTGACATACAGGAATGTCCCTTGAAGTTTTTTTAATTATGTCTTTCTTTGTTGAGATTGCACAGATGCTTATGTTTGCAAAATATTTTCTTCTGTACTTAAACATAAGACCTAGGTAGCTGCTTATTTGAGATCAATTTCTGAAGTTCAGGTTTTTTTAAGCTTTGGGGGAGAAACCAAGTTTCTTACCTGCGTTTCAGATTGTTTCTGTCTGCCAAAGTCCCACGTCTATCTGGCAGCCTTAAATGCCAAAAAAAGTGCTCGTGATTGAAGATTAACGCAACTCCTCTTCTCTGATGGTTCATTTTGTACTGCTCTGCAGGGTCAAACGTTTGTCTGTTGCCAGAGATAGAAAACTTTCTTGATGAGTTAGTTGCTAATTGAATTCCTTTCCTGTATTCCTGCTAGCTGAGACTGTTGTAATTGACTAGAGACTGAGAATCCAATTTCAGAAGACTTTAAAATGTGTGATATTTTAGAAAGAACCTAAATCATTAAGTATTTTTTGAAAGCTTGGACATGTTAAACAGTTCAGTAAAACCACACTTAGGCTGGGACAAGGACCTGTCAGGGAGTGTTGAAAGGTTTCTCAATATTTGTATTTTCTGTTTCCAGGAGGCTGTCACATTAATAACACATTGAGGCAGATGGAAGTGCACTTCAGATTTGGCTCCAATTCTCCATGTTACATGTTTAGCTAAATATTATTTTAGCAGAGTTATATGGTGCATATGTATTTATTTGGAAGTTTAACTGTGTGAAATTTGCTTCCAGTTCTTGTAATTGAGCTGAGTGTCACATCATAAACAGCAGCCTATATTCCATATACTGGTTGATGAGGTAGTATACATACTGTTTACGAGAAGTCAAGAAGTTTGTATTATTTACAGATTAAAATGAAAGCTATGATGGTACAACTGTTGACTGGTGTTTAGCAACCAACCAACAGAGCCCTACAACCAAGGGACTATCGGCAAGAGCACAAATGGCCGACCCAGCTTCTAAGTAGAGAAATTTTAAATATCAAGGCAACAAATGTGTAGAGTATTTGTATGTTTGGAGTAGCATTCTGTTTCTTTTATTGTGTTATAAGCAAACACAGCACAAAGGTCTGCATTAACACGCTACAATCTGTACACTTAGACCCAAAGGGTTCTCTCCAGGCTTTGGCATGGCTATATCTAGGGAGACAAATCGTGCTGCTTCAGTTGATAGAGGCATCAGTGCAGGGAACAGAGGCTAAAATACTTCTGATGATAGTTCCTCACAACAGAAAAGGCCTGTGCTGTAGATTTACAGAATGACAGTCCAGGTCATGCTGCCCTAGAACTGTCAGTAGGCAGAGCTGCTGTATTTGGCATGTTACTGTTTTGTTTTCTTTTCCTGCTGCAGAATGCTCAGTATTGGTGCAATTCCTAGAAAAAGTTCAGAATACTCACTTGCAGAAGTTACTTAAAGATTGCAGTTTACTCCAAAATGTGTTTTCATGTTTTCATTTCACTACAAAGCAACCAAAATGTTTCATTAAGTATTTGTGCTGCTCCACTTTACTATGAGCAGCTCCTTAAAACATCTGTTCATAATGCCTGCAGAATTCAAACAAGGAGCAGGAATTCTGGACAGCTGATCCCCAACTGGGAATTTCTGAATTGCCAGATGGAAAACTGGTCAGAAAAGTAAGTGGGATGCTTTATCACACTCTCCCCACCTGGAGTACTTAACATGATGCAAAAACGCTCAACTTTAGCTGTTTAATTATGACTGATATTTCACCTGTGTCAGTGCCAGAGCTTGTTCAGATTCTGGTAATTTTTGTTCCTTTGGATTTATATGTGGCTTATATCCTTGGATCCATGAAAGGACCATTAAAGGATGGTTTCCTACATAATTCTTCCTCTGCTCAGCTGTATTCACTGAGCAAACAAGGCAAAGAAAGCTACCAGACAGATAGCTTACCTTTTCCAGGGCTACACAATGTTGCATGATGGAGCAAGAAAAATTAATGGAACGACTATCTCATTATCTCTACATTCTCTCTATAGAGGACTATATTCTTGTGTTACACACTATTGTTCTGCCCAACTGTCCATAGATTGTGATGGTATTTTTATCATTCTCTCTGCACATTGCCTAACATAACATGAATGCATTCCTAAGAATCCTTTCTGCATGCCTTCATCATAAGAAGGATAGTTCTACACCTGATGTTGCTAAAACTAAAAACGTGCTGTGTAAATGGGTGAGGTTGACTGAGTAATCCAGTTGCATTCCTAACGAAAGCCAGGAAAATGTCAACTGACCGCAGCAGGCCATCTCTCCATCGTTGCCATCAGAATCATACCTTATATCAAATGCATCCACTTCTGTGATGTTCTGATTTCCATCTGTTAGAGAGAAAAAAGTGATTTAGCCACCAAATCTTTAAAGGGAAAAGTTCGAACTTGTGCATCCAACCGTAAAGTTTAGCTATTAGTGTGAAAGATGAACCAAATTGAACTCATTCACACATCAGCTAAGTAGGCATGCAGTTTAACAACTTCATTAGCATTTGTACACCAAACATTTGGAGGCTGTTCTTAGAATTTTGATTCTAACAATATGAATTTTAGGTGGTCAAGATGTGCACATTTTTTATTTAGCTAGCTATCTGTAGCTACTTGAATACATAAATCATGATCTCGGAATACATAAGGAGTTAGCAGTCTATATTTAAACAGTCTCTTTGGCTCAATAATTAGGAGTTTACATTATCTAAAAATACTTTTTTTTTTTTTAATTTCAGTAGCGCTGCTAATGCAAAACTGAGCAATCTCTGAGGTTGGGTGCAGCTTATGAATCACAGAATCATAAAATCACCAAGGTTGGAAAAGATCTCCAAGATCATCCAGTCCAACTGCCTACCTACCACCAATACTGCCCTACTAAACCATGTCCCTTAGTACCACATCTAAATGTTTTTTGATCACCTCCAGGAACAGTGACTCAACCACCTCCCTGGGCAGCCTGTTCCAGCACCTGGCTGCTCTTTTGGAGAAGAAAGTTTTCCTAATATCCAACCTGAACGTCCCCTCGTGCAGCTTGAGGCCATTCCCTCTCATCCTATCACTAGTTAAGCAGGAGAGAGGCTAACCCCTGTCTCACCACAACCTCTTTTCAGTTTTAGAGAGTGATATGGTCTCCCCTGAGCTTCCTCTTCTTCAGACTGAGCACTCTTACAGCTTCACTGCCTTTCTCTGGACACACTCCATGGTCTCAATGTCTTTCTTGTAATGAGGAGACCAAAACTGAACACAGCACTCAAGGTGCAGCCTCAGCAGAGCTCAGAAGGTAGTATAACCATATGTGTTAGTAACAATTGAAAATATGCAAGATTTTCACCTTCTGCTAAATTAAGTATCACCAGAAACAGAATGCACATGAAGGTAACATTGTGGAAACAACTGGGAATCTGCATATCTTGGGAGGGTGCAAAACTGAAGGTTTGGCAGATGACCAGGCAAAAATACTTAAATCTTTTTTCTTAAACATCTCAGTGAGCTCTTCTTACCATATCATCTTCTTATCATATCATTCTACTACTATCACTAGAGATTAACAACCACATTATGAAAACTATATGCTGTATTGTACCTGTGGTGGTTGGTGTAGGTTTGCTGTCCAACTGGACACGGCCTGCAATCAAAACAGAAGACATGGTCACATATACATATATTTTAAAAATTATTTTGTATACATGATTTTCCTAGTTTTTGTCCTTGTTTTTCACTTCTGACTAAAGCCTTTAGCAAAATGAATTAGCATGGATGTATTGACTGAGATGTTCATAAAGACACTAGAGTAAGCTTGGAGCTCTAGAGCTGACTTTACAAACCCTTATGTTGAACTTAGCAAGGGAGACTGAGAGACAGCTTAAAGGAAGTCATAGCCTTTAAAGTGTTGCTATTTACACACAAACTTCCCATCTGTAAATATTGATCATGCTTTCAAGCCTTGTGTCCTGCAAATATCACTTGTGACCTCTTGTGATGGATAAAAAGCTATTTCAGTTTGCATAAAACAACATGTAGGTCAGACTAATGACAGAAGTGTTGAAAATGAGTGCAGACAGAATGTAGCGGCAACACTTGTGCCTGTGATTTTGTTTATAATATGAGCCAGAGATCTGTATGTTTAAATTTACACTTTTTGCTTGTGTACCTGAGATCTGATACTTTTGCCTCAACTTAAAAGAGAGGGGGAGGAAGGAAACACTTCCAAAATCTTCAACAGACTTTTAAAAGGTTAAAGTCAGACTTTTGTACAGAATATGCTGTCATGTAGATACAAAAACTATGGAATGCCTGAACCAAGGGAGACCTGGGAAAGATGTTTTACTTGCTCTTTTAAATCTGTTTAGCATGTTTCCAGCCTTGAGCTTTTCACTGCCACAGTAGCTTCATTCAGGTAAACAAACAAAAAAAGTGGTGTATGACAAACTGTCTGCTTGTTTTACACAGGCTAAGAATTGACTGTTCTCAAAGGGGGAATTGTCTTGTCTTTTATCTTGTGCAGATGGATTGTTTTAAAGGAATTAAAACTCAGCTATGCACTGAGCTACACAGTGAGATCTGGCTACATGTTCTTTGGATGTATTTTAATCTCATAACATTTCTAATAGGCCAAAGGACACGATACTTAGAAAATACCAACAGCACAAGAAATGCACGTGTATGCCTAACAGCATCCTGGGGAACAAAAACATACAACTACCACCAAGGAAAATAGTACACTTTACCAAAGCCAGGCTTGCTTGAAAAAGAGAATGCCAGGGGTTACAAATTGAAAACATTCAATGTCAGATGATGTCAGTGCCTCTTTGAGTGCCTGGACACTGGGGGTACTCTCAACGAAGGGGCAACACAGAAGAAAACGTTGGACCCTTCAGCCTGAGGGGCCCAAGCCCACGTGTGCTGCAGCTGTTCGGCCTGCACGTGGCTTCTACCATGTCAAGCATTCTAGTTTCACCTCAGTTAAATTATAGGTGTCAACATTTGCACCTTAGCAGTCCAGATTTCAGAAGTCTTTCAGTATATGGCTCATCTCCTCTGAAAGTGAACACTGACTTAGAAACTAATTTCGTTTATGCTTGCAGTAGTTACATTTTGAATTACCGGGTGCTTTGGCAGCAGGTTCCGAGTCATCTATCAGCTTTACGGTAAGAACACCGACCGCAGCGGTGCCGGCGCCTCTCAGCGGCAGGATTTCAGCCTCGAGAGCCACATCTGCGTTCCCTCCCGCCCCTGCACCGACAGCGCACTTATCACCAGCAGTAACCTGGACTTCCAGTACTTTCGTTCCGTGTCCCCATGCAAATCGGTGTTTCCGCCTCTTCCCCCACCCCCCACCCCTTTGTTTCGCAGACGGAGGAGGCCAAGTTCCCCCCCCTCAAAGCGCAACAGCGACCCCGCGGCTCCGCTCCCCGGGACTGGCCCGGGGCTCCGTCGCGCCGCTGCCCTCAGCCCGCAGAGACCCGTGGGGCAGGGAGCGTGCCGGCCGCTAACAGCCGCCCGCCTACCTGCCGCCCGCCGCCGCTCCGCGCCCGACATGTCGAGAGCCCGGCTCCGCGCCCGCCTTGTACCGGCCCGGCCCGCCTCCTCCACGCTGCCTCCGGAGGAAACGGGGCGGGAGCAGCGCAGGCCGCGGGCCGTCCCAACGCGCCCCGAGGGCGCTCAGAGAAGCGCTTTCGCTTGGCCCAGCGCCGGAATGGCGGCGCCTTGCGACCGGTGAGGCGCTGCTGTGCTTCTGAGACGAGGCTCAGGGCTGTGCCAGGCGGCACAGGCATGCACGGTTTCAACTGCTGTAAGGCTTCTGTTACCCACATTCGCGTGAATGAAGGCCTGACAGAGTTGAAAGCTCGCAGATTTGCAACCTCGGTCTGTTACTGCATGAGTACTCTTTGGTGAGCCTGTAACCAGAGCTCAGGTGCTGGGGAGAGCACCCAGAGAATGGCCTTGTGTGTGGGCAGCCTCTGCCTTTTCATGGTCAACCGAAGAGCTCCCAGAGGATTGGTGGCTTGCCAATGTGACTCCCAGCTACAGGAAGGGTCCTTAAGAGATCTGAAGAACTACAAGCCTGCCAGCTTGAGCTCAGTGCCAGGAAAGGTTATGGAGCAGATCATCTTGACAAGATCACGCAGCATGTGCAAGACAACGGGGATGAGGCCTGACCAGCATGGGTTCACAGAAGGCAGGTACTGTTTGATCAACATGTTCTTCTATGATTGATGATGAGGTGGATGAGGGAAAGACTGTCGACTTGGTCTCCTCAGACTTTAGCAAAGCCTTTGGCACTCTCCAACAGTATTCTCCTGGAGAAGCTGGCAGCCTGTGGCTTGGACAGGTACTCTCTTTGCTCTGGGTAAAGAACTGAGTGGAGGGCAGTGCCCACAGAGTGGTGGTGAATGGAGTTGAATCCAGCTGTCAAGAGTGGTGTCCCCCAGGGGTCGACACTGGGGCCCGTCGTGGTCAGTATCTTGACTGATGACCTGTGCACCCACACTAAGTTTGCAGATGACACCAAGCTGGGAGTAAGTGTCAGTCTGCCTGGGGATAAGAAGGCTCTACAAAGTACAGTGGATTGCTGGGCTGAGGTAAGTGGGATGAAATTCAACAAGACCAAGTATCCGGTCAGTGTCACTTTGGTTGCAACAGCCCCAGGCAGTGCTTCAGGGTTGAGACAGAGTGGCTGGAAGGCTGTAGGAGAAATGGACCCGAGGGTGTTGATCAGCGCTTGACTCAGCATGACCCAGCAGTGTGCCCAGGTGGCCAAGAAGGCCAGTGGCTTATATCAGAAATAGCATTGCCAGCAGAAGCAGGAAGATGATTCTCTCTCTGTTCTCAGCACTGGTGAGGCTGCACCTCAAGTACTGTGTTCAGTTTTGGACCCCTCAATACAAGATATCAAGGTCATGGAGTGTATCCAGAAAAGGGCAGTGAAGCTGTGATGGGTCTGGAGCATAGGTGTTACGGGAAGCAGCTAAGGGAACTTGGATTGTTCAGTCTGCAGGAAGCTCAGGGGAGACTTTATTACTCTCTACAACTACCTGAAAAAGAGGTTGTGGTGATGTGAGGGTTAGCTGCTTCTCCTGCATAACTAGGAATGGGGTGAGAGGGAATGTCCTCAAGTTGTGCCAGGCAAGATTCAGGTTGAATGTTGTTATGGTTAAAAAAAATTTCTTCCCTGAAAATGTGGTTAGGTGCTAGAATGGACTGTCGAGGGAGGTGGTTGAGTCACTGTCACTGGAGGTGTTCATGAACTGTGTAGATGTCGTACTGAGGGACATGGTTTAGTGGGGAAGTGTTGGTGGTAGGTGGATGGTTGGACTGGATGATCTTGGAGGTCTTTTCCAACCTTGGTGATTCTATGATTCTGTATCATGTATAAATGGAAGCCAGTGCCCAAACCCATCCTTCTGTACCTAAGCTCTGCAGGTTTGTAACGAGGACGGGTCTGAACTGTGTATCTGGCCCATTGCTTGGTGAGCTCTGGGGCATACTGACGTGTGAGGCAGCTCTCAGAGAGCAGCACTGCTATAGGCACAAGAGGAGATGGCTCTAGATAGGGATTTTCAGTATTTTATCCAGTCTGACTTGTTTTACATGTTTGTTTACAAATAAGGAATTTTGGACATGGTGGCTTCCTTTTGGGTGATGGATCAATGAGTATTTCTCACTGCCTTCACTTGTTTTTCCCATGTTTGGACTTGCTGTCCTGAACCCACTAGCAGCCAGCGAGATCAAGATAAAATTGTTTAAATTCTTTTTGTTTATTCAGACAAAACTAGTACTAGTGGTGGCAATGGTGATGAGGAGACGGTCGGACTGGATGATCTTATAGGTCGTTTCCAACCTTGTGATTCTTGTGATTCTTGTGAAAACAAGATACAACTACCAGACTTCAGCACCTTTCTCATGCTGTAAAACAGATTCTTACTAGCCAGATTTATTTATTTATTGCAAATTGTAGTTCTCTCAGCTGCTATTGGAGCTGCCCCTTACACTTTTTGGCTGCAGTAATTCTGTATGAAGGAGCAACTGCAGAGCCCAGCCTGGGGCTCTGTAGCAGCAATCCGTTGTGTAGCCCTAAGCAGGTAGCTTAGGTCTCAGTGTGTTAAATGACACTGCTAATACAGAATGCAATATCCCTGATTCATTTTAGGATCGTAGTTTAGGATTTAGCATTGTAAGATGTGTTTGGTATAATTTGCAGGGAACTACAAGCAAGAATTCGTGCTACGGACAAAACTTAGGCAAAGGCTCTCTGGAAGATAAATGCTTCCACAACTACCAAAGTGTCATTTGTGTTATTTAGCAGCATTAAGGCTCTTTTTAGTATTAAAAATGGTTTGAGGGAAGCTATGAAATGTTTTCACAGTGCATTTACAGGTAAATACATTAAGGAACAAAACACAGTACTTTCCAACAGTGAAAATTTTTCTTCTATGTCCATTTAAGCATATAATTGAAGCTCATTTTTACTTGAATTACCTAACTAAATTATGACATTGTGTTGGACTCACTGCATCAATGTTTTAATTTTAAACAATCAGGGTACTACAGAGTCACTTCAATTCTGTGACAAAATCTCCTTGTATTTAAAGGCACCACAAGTTATTCAGACATAGTTTTGTAAAACTTGGCAGCCGTGTCTTGCCGTGTTATTTAATACCCACAAATAGGAAAATAAAATCAGGAAGCATGGCCAAGGTACTTTGGCAGGAATTTTATTGTATAAGACACTTATATTGTGTCATGTACCATAAGCTTCAGTGAAAAAAAAAAAAAAAAAAAAAAAACCACCAAAAAATAGTAAAGCAAAAACATATAAAAATACTTCCAGAAGAGAAATGGCATTGCAATCTGTGAGTTAAGTGAACTTTAAACTTTCGGCATAGTTTATTTTCCCTGCTCATGGATGCAGTACTTTGATTTTCAGTCATATTCTGTGGATTTCTAAGGCAAATCATGGCAGCAGGACATGACTCAATGCAAAAGTCAACTGAGGTCTGACAACTGGAGACTAGCAACAGAAAATCAGTACAGAGGGCAAACCCCAAATAATTCAGACATCAGATGATTTCAGCTAGCAGTATGGAAGAGATGACAGAAATAAAGGCTCAGATGTCTGTCAGCCTCACAGAGGTCATAGGAAAAGGTGACAGAAATAAAGGCTCAAATTTCTGTCAGCATCACAGAGGGAATTTTAAATAAAAAGGTTTGTTGGGCTCACTGACCCTACCTGTGGAATCTTCTAGTTTTCAATCAGAATGGACTAAATGAAAGCAAAGATGTATACAGTAGCTAAGTTGTGCCATGAGACAAATATAAATCAACCTCTTTGAACAATATATCCTTTCTACACATATAATACACAATGCATTGTTTAATTTGAAAAATAAAGACTTGAATCCTTTCTAAACTTATGTAACATTACAACCACATTCCAGCATTCTGTCAAACCGAAAGTATATCCTTAGGTCACAAACTGTTCACTTTAGGAGTCAATCCTTAAAAGGATCAACACACTTATCTGAAGAGTGCTGAAGAAGTTAATTACTGGATCAGTTAGAAATATATAGTGCACATATATATCTTGCTTAGGGCTTTTTTCTTTGTTTTAAAACAAACCACAGGACAGAGTACATCAGAGAGATCTGAAGGTCTCAAAGTGAAGGGCTATTCAAGGTGCTATATTAACTGCAGAACTCTCTTACTTATTGTTATCTATCACATACATCAGCTGCGTGGAAACCTAGCATTTGGCCTATATTAGAAATAATCCGAGATTCAACCCTTCTGCACCTCTGATTTCCCCCCATGCAGTTTCCTTTTTTTTTTATAATTGAAAATAGCATTTGTGTTTTACAGTAACATACCCTAAATGTACATACACTAAAAGAGTCTAAGTTCAGTTTCCAATTTGTAGTGTAAAGGAAGTGTAGTGTAAGGAAGACTTAACACTTTTTTTTCTATTTTTCTAAACATGAGGAAGAATAGTGTAGTGACTTTCAAACCAATACATTCATGTCAGTGTTTAATATAAGTCATTAAGGTTGGAAAAGGCATCCAAGATCATCTAGTCCAACCATCAACCCACCACCACCTTGCCCACTAAACCATGTCCCTAAGTGCTGCATCTACACATTTCCTGAAAACCTCCAGACTCCCTCCTGCCACCACAGGGACAGCACTCATGTGATGGTGTGCTCCCCCCACCCCTTCTTTCTTTCTCTCAACTTCCTCCTTCAGCCTGGCCTTGTACATAAGGCCTTGCACAGAAAGACAATGAAGGACAGTACTGGTAACACTTTAACACAGCTTAACGACCACAAATCTGTCTCAAACTGGGAGGCTGAAAGAATGGATAGAAGGCACCTGGTTCAACAGCTGAGTGCCAACTGAGCACGCGCCTAACAACAAAGCATGACTATGAGTCATTCATCTTACCCCATAACTGGTGAGCAGCATAAACAGCTTTTCAAGCTCTCCTGTGTGGCACTGGGCTGCAGGGACAAGATCTCCCCTCAAGCAGAGACATCTCTCAACTGTGGGGCTTGGTGCACTTGAGGCAATGATGCTGCTG